TCTTTCATTAGTTTAGACACTTTTGTAGCTTTCAAACCGAGACACTATATCTTTAAATGCTCCTGTACTGATAACATTAGGTCTTGGGTGTATTTAGTTATTTCCACACTTTTATTCTATTTATGAAATTTTGGATTTTGAGAGGCTTACATCCTCTCTTTTTTTTACTCACATTTTGACTTGATAATCATTTGGGGTGAAGGGTTGTCTTTTCTACTAATGGGTTCATGTAGGTGTCATCATAAGATTGAATTTTAGATTGATCGTGATATTTATGTTATATTTTTCTTTTTAAAAATATGTTTTTATTCTTAATAAGATGATTTATAACTGTATAAATATCTATAATTTGTTTAAGATCATAAATTTTAAAATTCTTTTATTTTTATAATTTATGTCAAATCAAATACCTTCACATAAATTGAGACGGAGAAAATAATATAATAATTTTAAAGTATCAAATTCTTGGGGCCTACTTGTCTTGGATTAAGCTAGCATTGTGTTCATCTAGAAAGTAAAGTGAGATTTAGAAAATCCTTAATTTTACAGAAGCTTTTATTTTGTCTTAAAAATACAGAAAATGGTATTCACAATGAAGTAGAGTGGTACATAGCTCGGATGGAAACAAACAATAATCATATGCTCCCACTAATTACTTATCCATTTTTGAATTGACACACCTATTAAGAAAACAATTATTGTTATAGTGAGTTTACCATTTTATCCCTATTAATTTGAAAAAGGGGTTCGAAATATATCCGAACTTTGACCGAAATTGCTATAACAATCCCAAACTTTGGCAGGACCTATTACCCCCTGAACTATTTAATAGAGTATATATGTGTGTGTGCGCGCGCGCGCACGCGCCCGCCCACGTGGACATCATAAATATTGCATCATTATAAATAGTAACTTGTCAAGCTCGGCACTTATATATCTTTAAAAACACTATTAAATAGTGCAGGGGGTACTAGGTCTTGCCCAAAGTTTAGAATTGTTACAACAATTTCGGTCAAAGTTCGGATATATTTCAGACATTTTTCCCATTATAAAGTGAATGAATTAAAAACTTAGAATTTTCAAGAAGTTCTACCTTTTTACAAAGTAATTAATTGAGGGTATAATACGTAAAAAGAAATTGTCCTTTCTTAATTTGTCAAAATGGACAAGTAATTAGGGACAACTAAAAAATGATAGGTGAACAAATAATTAAGAATAGAAGGAGTACTAATTTCGAAGAATCGAAACTTAATTTATTAATACTTTAGACTAGATACTACGATATATTTCAACATTTGTTAAACAACCAAATGATAATAGTCATATATAATTTTGGTTATTTAATTTCCCATACACCATCAAAATCTCGAAATTTTGCCAAGAATGAAAAAAAGCTGATCTATTATTATTCTTTTACTAAAGTATTTTGTAGAGGTATTAATTAATCAATAAATTAATAAATATTACTTTAAAGAATGTTTTTAAAATTTAATGAATATACATTATCCCCCTAAAAATAAGGGATATTAAAAAGGAAGAAGAATGGAAGAATAAACAATAATGAAAGATCAAAAAATTGAAAGAAAGAGAGTGAATAGAGTATTGAAGTGAATATAAATAAATGTTTCTTGGGCAGTGCTTTTTATTGGGAAGAAAAAAATTCTTGGACAATGTAATTTTTAAAACCATTTAGTGGTTTAAGACTTTTTTTTTTAGTGATTTTACTTTGGAGGGTACTTTGGGTACAAAAAAATGAATTTACCCTATCACCCTATTCATTCCTGCGAAATTACGATCTTATCCTGAAAAAGTAAGGTAGTGCCATTTTGTGCCAGAAAAGTGTCTTGCCAAATATATTTTCCGTAATTATAAAGTAGATGAATTAAAAACTTAAGATTTTCAAGAAGTTGTACTTGTTTCAAAATAATTAATTGAAGGTAAATAGGATAAAATTGTCCTTTTTTGATTTATCAAAATGAATAACTAATTAGAGACAACTAAAAAATGAAAAGTCAACAAATAATTAAGGACAGAGTGAGTACTAATTTCGAAGAACCGAAACTCAATTTATTGATACTTCAGACTAGATACTACAATATATTTCAACATTTGTTAAACAACCAAATGAAAATAGTCATAATTTTTGTTCTTTAATTTCCCATCACACCATCAAAATCTCGAAATTTTGCCAACAATGAAAAAATGCTGATATATTATTATTCTTTTACTCGAAGAACAAGTATAATAAACATGAAATAAATAACTATAATGATAAATACAAAATTAAAGCCTTAGGGATGTACTGAATTTGTTCCAAAATCTTGGGTCCTTAGGAGTTTCCATGATCTTCTTATCTCCTTTGATTTTCCCAAGAATTGGTTTGAGCAACTTCTTCATCATCTTCTGGAATCCGTAACCACGACGTCGATGGTGGCGGAAGCACGGCTCTTGATCGGCGGCAGCCATTAGTGGTGGTGGCTGCCTAGTAGTAGTACTCCGTCGGCTAGGCTCAGATAAACTCCTAGCAAGAATAGCTTGATTTAATTGTATTTCAAATGTAATTCTTTCATATTCATCAAGTAATGTGCTTTTTTCATCTCCAAATTTTTTCATTACTTGTGATATTGTCTCCATTGAGCCCATCTTAATTATTCATATTATAAACTCCTTTAAATAATATATATGGCTAGCTTGATCGATGAAGCTTTAATTTCACATTCTCTCTCTTTTTCTTTCTTTTGTGTTGGCTTGATGGAAGCCGAGCTGACAACTCAAAAGCCACGTTATTATTACTAGCTAGAAAAGAAGGAATTATTATCAACTTGTGATATAAGTAAAGAAGAATTCAAAAGACTAGTTATAAATTTGACTCCACCACATTTATCAAACAAGTTTTTGTCTTTTGAGTTTCTTTGGCATTATTTATTAATCGATTGTTTTAAAATAGGGATAATACATATATTGGACCTTAAACTTGGCTTCAAATTTTAACTTTGACCTCCAACTTTCATAGTGCACAAACAGACACTTTAACTATCCAACCTTTTAATAAATAAACACGCGTGTCTTACCTGGCAAAACGCGTGATGTGCACATTTTTTGCGCGAGTAGGAGTGATTTTTGAGGCCTACAACAGTAAAAAAAAATGCTGAAATGACAACTATACCCTTAATTAATTAATTATTTTTTTTAGTTCAAAAATGCACGTGTAAAGTGTTTAATTAGTTGGCAGCCATTGAGTGGCTCACTAATACACGTGGCAGCGTTTGCATTTCACGCTCTTGGCTCCAAAAATCGCGTGTTTATT